CGGCGGGCGGCGCTTTGCGGCGGCGCTTTCCGGCCTGAAGCCGCATCGCGGTGAGGGCGGCCGGGCAGCGGCTACCGGAGCGCCCGGGGCTGATGCAGAAAATCAACAGGAACGTGGTCCTGGCGCTCCTGTCGCTGACCAGCCTGGTTTTCCTGCTCTTCCAGGTGTGCTACTACAAGTTCTACCTGTCGCAGAAGGTGAGAGAGGGAGCGCTCTGCCCGGTGCCTGGCTGCGTTTCCCTGTGGGCGTTCATCCCGCCCCCGGAATTCCCCGGAGCGGCTCGGAGTGCCGGCAGGGTGGGCGTGGGGCGGGCGGGGAGCCTAGGCCGGTGTCTGGTGGCAGGGGTATAGTCGGGTTTGAGTTCCCAGCCTGGTATCCAAGTCACTGTGTCAGCCAGGGCCACCCGATTTCTCCCTCAGGGAATGACGCTCCCGCCAGCTTCGAGCCGCCACGGCTTTTAACCCTTCAACAAGTAGCTCTTGTTACTCGGTGACTTTTATTGCCACCGAAGTCGAACGGAGGGGAGGCAGCATCTGCTTGGTGCAGGTTTTCCAACGCTGGTGTGGAGAAGAAAAATCCCAACTTTTTATGCAGTCGTCTTAGGGCTTTGTGGCTCAGTGCTCCTAATGTGCTGGATGTCACAGTTTAAATCCTCCTTTTATACCTGGAATGCTGTTTGTACCTCTTTTTATACCTGACCTGGAGTGTCCAGGTGAGTGATTTTCTGCAGCAGCAAAAGAAGTGATTGTCACTCTAAATTAAATCCTCTGGTGGCTTTATAGTTTACGGTTGCAACTCTGATTCAACAAAGGAACTCCCTTTATTTTTACAGAAAAACTGTATAGGTTTCAAAGTGCCCTGACTCGTTTTTTGGCTTTTCTTTCCTTATTAAGTGCAGGCAGTGTCAGTGACAGGTGATGCTGCAACCTTCAACTTCTTTCTCACAGTTTCTGATTTTTAAACAACAACTGAAAAACTCTTTGTGCCTTTGAAAAGCCAAAAGCTGAGCCACAAGCTGCCTTGACTCTCTCACGTGAATATGCTGTCTTTAAAATTGAAGTGTCTAGGGTTACACCTGGAAAGATTGAGGCACAGTCCCGCTGTCTTTGCCCCTCTGGTATTTGCCCAACAGGGTTTGTCATCCTCCTATTTTGTGTTTGCTGGCACATTGGCTTGGAAACCTGAGGCCTCGCTGCTCAGTCCTTGCATGTCTGGAGGTCCCTGAGGTTTGGCTTGTCCTTCTAAATATACTTAAGCCACAGCACTTGTTTATGATTTTACATCCAGAGCTGTAGCTGAGTGACCAGAGGCATAACCCCAGCTATAATCATAAAGTGGATAAATGCTCCTGAACGTCACGTTAAGAAAACAAGGATTCAACTGAAACTTTGGGGGTTTTCTCTTCTTTTCCCTCCCCCTCCCCTTCTTTTTGTTTTGTGTTCTTGATAGAATGGAGCAGCTTTTTCCAAAGTCAGAGGAAGCCAGTCAGGCCAAGACAGCACTAGATGGGTATGTACAATGTCACTGGTTCATACAGCTCTTTCACAACTCACAGAACTCACTTGGAGCTGCAAATTCAGGGTCCAGTTCTCGTCACGCTTCACTGGCCGCTCTCTGCTTTGTGGGGTAAAGAGATACACTTTGTAACTTTACTCTGTAAAGAGAGTATCAAAACATCAATGTTAAGGAACATGGATAAACAGTTACAGGTTCACAACTTTCGCCACTGCAGTGCTTAGATGAGTTGTTAATGTTTCAGGAAGCAACACTTTTTCAAAAGTGTTGATCCAGGGTTTTGGGTCCTTTCAGGTCGAACAGATTGGCCGGTTTGCCATGCAGCTTCTTTGTCGGTCTAAGAAGGTCCTGAGTCACACAGTGCTCCTTTGCCCATTCCAGGTGTTTAACCTGCTGGTCAGTGTTCAGTTGCCTGCTTGTGCTGGGTTGTAAAGCTCTTCCCAAGCAGGAAAATGTCTTGTTTCAGCGTTCAGCAGCTGCTGCATTCCAGCCCTCATGGTCAGTGCCGGAGTGCTATTAGGTGCTTGAAATGGGATATTTGTTGTGTCTTGCTTCAGGCTTGCAAGATTGAATGCAACCAAAACTCTCCTCCTGGGGAATCAGAAGGTCCCCTATGATGTTTGTAGCTAGGATTTGTTTGGAAACAGCTTTACAGAAGACTTTTTGTTAACTGATCTCCCAGTGGAAAAGCAGCACAGATGGTTAAGGAGAAGGATGTGCTGGGAGCAGGCTGCCTTTCGGTTTGGATGCAACATGATAATGTTGCTAATTAGCAGAATGGCCATTTAAAGGCCTGGTTTCTGCTGAGCAAGAGGGAAGGTGCTGTGGTCGAGAACTGTCCCTGGAAAAAATCCAATCCAACTGCTCTGTGGACTGCTTGCTTGTGCCAGGAATGCCTTGCTATTCTTGGAGGTTACACCCCTTGGAGCTGCCTACCAGGTGTGAGGTGTCACGGTCACAGGGGGCTTCCAGTCTGTGGGCAGAGCTCTCCTAAAGGTTGAACTTGATCTTCTGAGATCATCACAGATAAAGGATGCTCCATGATCTTGCCACATACTGCACTTCAGGCTTTCCTTGGTGTCACTGCAGTGATGTGTACAAAAGACTAAATATGAACATGTTTCTCTTGAGTTAACATCAAGGCCATGTCTTTCTACCATTATTTATGTTTTTTTAAACTTATTTATGTTTCAACTGAAAGCATCTGTTTTCCTGGAGAAGTGATGGGATGGGGAAGGAGAAGTAGGTACTTTTGCACAGATTTTTTCCTGTTCTTCAGTCTGGTGTGCCAGTTTTAGTCACAGAAGTAATATGAGCACATCACTTACCTTTCAGCTCCGTGTAGCTGAAATCACTATGAGGGTGGCCTCGCTTCTGCCTGTACCACGCAGGTAATGCTGCTGCCAAAATTCTGTTGTTGACCCACATCTTGTCTTTGTGTTTTCACACCTCTCTGAAACCAGAGCTTTAAAATCGTTAAATGAAAATGTTACAGCTGAATATATTTAAGTAGCAGGGCGACTGTGGCTGCTGTAAA